AAAAAAAACCGGGATGGTACTTGGTCCTGCTGTGAAGGCAGGGGACTGGACTCTATGACCTTTCAAGGTCCTGTCCAGCTCTATGAGATAGGTATATCTGCATATTTAAAAAAAAGGGAGGGAAGGTCAAAGGCTTCCCCACCCAGCTTGCTTTGTGGCCACAACTCCAGGTAGAGATGGTGGTAGTGTTGTGATGATGGATTTGGCCAATGGAGAACTCCCAACCTGCTTTCACCTCAAAGCTCTCGCTCTCCTTGCGTTCTACTGTGTAGTACATCACCATAGAGTGATGGTGCATGCCCTACTGTAGGGCAGGCTTGTGGCAGTTCAACTAAGGATTTGACCTTAACCCATAACATGGTTACAGAAAAGGTTACTTTTTTCCTTACTACAATGCTTTTGGTGGGACCAGGGCGAACTCTTATATCTGTTCATTATCAATTTTGGAAGAGAATATATGCAAATAGATTTTCCTGTTTGGTTTTTATTTACATGTTCATTTTCTTTAATACTGGGGGCAGTAAGGCCCAGGGCCTGAAATATTTAGGGCTGGTCTACAGTACAAAGTGAGGCTGACTGAACTACATCGTTTAGGGCTGTGTAAAACATGCTGTGTGCGATGCAATTAAGCTGCTCTAAGCCCTCGTGTAACACTGCTAGGACGATGGAAGAATTCATCTGTTGACTTAGCTACCGCATCGTGGAGAGGTGGATTTACTACACTGCCAGAAGAACCTCTTCCATTGCTGTAGTAAGTGTCTATGCTTTAGCAGCACAGCTGCTGAGATACCGCTGTAGCATTTCTAGTGTAGACGTTCCCTTCGACTCCTAATTTCCATTGAAATCAGTGGAAGTTAGGAGTCTAAGTACTTTTGAGACTCTAGGCCTAAAAGCTCTACTGCAGCGATCTGCCCTTGGAACAATTCCTGTTGGGTTACGTTTATTATTTTTCTTATTAAAAGTCATGAAGGCAGGACTAAAGTTCATGAAGTAAATGGACAATAGGCCTGGATCTGTGTCTTGAAAACCTGAACTAGAAATTACTTTATCTCTTTAAACTTACTTCATCAAGCAATTGTTCTACCACTGAAATTTTTCCTTCCCCTTCTGGACCCACTTCTTTCAGGAGCTGTCTAGCCTCAGGCTGTGAAAATACAGAAAGCAACACCACTCAATAACATTTCACAAAGTAGAAATATGATTATAGGCAACTCACACTGGCAGAGTAGTGCAAATGTAGCTGAGGGCAGAATTTGGTCTTACGCATGTTAGGCATTTGAACCTCACTAATCCATACACAATTTCTACAAAAAAAGGCTGTCTCTCCCCACTTCTGAGCAAATATTGAACAGCAGGGTGCTATCGTCAACTGTCATATTACTAAGGTCCCAATCCTGTAAACACTTATACATGTGCTTAACATTACTACCATGAGTAGTCCTACTGAAATAAAATAAATACTCAAGATAATAAGGTTAAGCACATGCATATCTTTGACAATTCAGGGCCTTCGACTTCCTGTTTTTATAAAATATGCTGCATAATATTTACTAGCATACTATGAAATTTTATCAAATAAAACTAAACTAATTGCCAAAGCACATTAACAAAATACACTTTGCGATTTGCTAGCCTTGCTTTTTAACTCTGTTTGTTCACTTAAGCCAAACTCCAGCACCCAGCCTGAAAATCTGGGCTGTACATGGGCAACATGAGGACAGAAAGGTGGGAACTCCTACTAGGCCACAGTGTCACTCTATGGCAAACTCAAGCCAATGCCGGGATTAGCCTATACAATTATTTTCACCCCATAGTTTCCCTAGCTCTATGGCCCAGTGGCTTTTGGCTGAGCCTGAGTATGTGCTAAGCCCAGGAGAGACTATGAAATAGCAGGGAGTGAGGGAAGCACTTTCTCATGTAAAACCCATACCGTGGCCTCGGCCCATTGCCACACAGAGGTTCTCGTGAAGTAGGACTTGCAGAAATGTGATCTTTTATTTGGGGTGAAATTCACTCGAAGTGTTTTTAGTTTTGCACTGAAAATCAGTTATCTGTTTTTTGGTTCCTTTATTTTTTTTAAATCCCTGAAAATTCAGTTACTCGTGTTCTATTTCTTACAGGGTAACATGGCAAGTCTCCTCTTGTCCCCACTGGATAGATGATGTAACCACATGTGGCTTGCCTTTAAAGGTTTCCATAGCACATCTTCTGTAGCATTAACACTCCCAATTTGTAACAGTGACAAAGATTCTGGACCTGATCCAATGGGAGTGCTACCATTCACTTCAAAGGGAGAAGAATGGGTCCAAAATACTTTCATTAAGCTACTTGCATAATGTCCAGACAGTAATGCTTTGGTTAAAAAATGAAAGCTATCTAGTTTAAAAAAAATCTTTTTCAGAGAGTAGGGGGAAATTTGGTTAAATCCAACTTCTACAAAAATATATACATGCCAACCAACCATTCCTATTTAGGAAAGATGGTCCTTACTTTTTAAACCAAATTTGACTATTTTCCACCTTTCCCTTCCAAAATGTTCTCCTAGACCAATGCATTTGGAAGGTGTTAAAAAATAAAGCAGCCCAGTTTTTCCATTGGATGTGTCGATTAGCGTTAGCACTTTGGCAGTCCCAGTATCCTTCCTACACTCACAGACTGTAGTATATACATACAGATAGCTTATTTTCTTTTTCGAAAAATGTTCTTGTCTTCTTTGTTCTTTTTACTTTTTCTCTGGGGCTTGAGATGCTGTGACCCTCTTCACACACTAAAATGAGAGAATCCAGAGTTAAAACTAAAAGTGATACTAGTGGTGTAACAAGAACTCAGGAGCCATTCATACAGTGTTGTGGCAGCATGAAATCAACCCCTATCCAGAGGGCCCCATTTAAGTGGCCCCTTGTGCTGGCCAGTTGCACTGGAATGAACTTCAACTGGAGTGTTTCAGATTTGAATAGCATTGAAAATGGATTAACTCCACAGACCATGCCAAATCTCAGGTGACTTGGTTTACAATAGCTCTAATAAGGAAAACTGACAGGAATGTGTAAATGCAGTGTTGTAACCGTGTTGGTCCCAGGATATTAGAGAGACAAGGTGGGTGAGGGAATATCTTCTTCTGGACCAACTTCTGTCGCTGAGAGAGAGCGAAGCTTTCGAGTTTACACAGAGCTCTTCTTCAGGTGCACGCTCGAAAGCTTGTGTCTCTTACCAACAGAAGCTGGTCCAATAAAAGATATTACCTCACCCATCTTATCTGCCTAGGTATGTATAAAAGCATTCAGAAATAAATAAGGCACCATGATAATTCACACGCATGTGCATTTATAAGACTAGTTTGATCTTAAATGGCAATAGCTGTTGAAGCAAAAAGCCAGAGTCTAACAACAGGTGGCCTGATTTTCACATGTGTTGAGCATTCACACCTCCTACTGAAGCCAATGGGTGCTACGAGTGCTCAGCACCTTGGAAAATTGAGCCCTAGGATTTTACACATCATCAATTCTGTTTCATTTGTCAAATGGAGCAAAACCAAACCCCCACAAACAACAGCTAGAAGTTGTGGCCTTCAGATATTAAACAAACACCTGTCAGGGATGGTCTAGGTATGCAGGAGCTGGGACTTGATGGCCACTTGAGATCCCTTCCAACCCTACATTGCTATGATTCTGTGACTGCCCAGTTAGAGCCAGCCAGTGTCACTGTGCATGGATTTTACAACTAGGATTCAAAAAACTGAGCTTCAGCTGCACTTACGTGATCTTTTCAGCTATTCTCTGAAGATGTAATTCAGTGTCTGTGAGCACTCAACACAGCTGCACAATGCCTGTCAATCACTTAGGCCCAGATCCACAAAGATACTGAAGCACCTAAACCCCAGACTTGCTTGGTGCCTATGTTTCACCCTCCAGGCATGCACCCTGCTGCCTCCCGTTAAGTGTTCAGACTCCTGTCTCTCCCCTTAAACCCTAGAGCGATTCACAAGATAGGTGTATGGATGCCTAATCTGCATGCAGGGCTCAATCCAGTAGGTGTACTCAGAGGCCCCCAAATGGATCAGGTCCCATTCAAAAACTAGGGTGGGTGGGAGTGGTACCTGCTTTATAACTTTTAGCCCTGTGGTCAGAGCGCTTGCCTGGGATGGGGGGGGGGGGGGGGAGGAGGATTTGAACAAAGATCTCCCACCTCCCAGGAGAGTGCGCTAACCACGGAGCTGTGGATATTCTGAGGAGGGCAGAGTCCCTCAGTCTGTCCTGCTGAAGGTCTTCTGTGAATAAATAATGAAAGAGTGAGTGGAGCACGGTGGCTGGACTCTGGGTAACACACCTCCTGGGTGGATGCTCTAACCACTGGACCACAGAGTCATTCCCTCTGTGGCCCAATAGCTATTTAAGTATTTATCCACAGTGGAACAGCTCCAACATGAGAGCTCAGTGGTTACAGCACTCCTGTGAGAGGGAGGAATTGAACCTGGGTCTCCCACATCTCACAGAAGTGAGATAAAACCATTAGGATAAAAGTTATAAGGTGGGTACCAGCGGCACCACCACCTTCTCCAGCTGTTTTGTGTGGAGAGAGGCAGGCCTAACTCATTCCCTCAAGAAACCCTTCAGGAGCCTAAGTCACCTGACTCCAGGAGAGAGCTTCCTGGTCATGCACTGCTAAGTAAAGACAGGCGCTTCTCTGCAGCCCGGACTTAGGTGTCTACATCTGTGAGAGGGGTGGAATTTAGCACAGCCCCCTCTCGTTGGCATCTCCCATTGGCTCCCTATCTAGCATGCGGGATTTTGTGGATTGCATTCTAAGACACCGATCTCTTCCCATTCTTTGTATAGGGAGCCTAGGCACCTAACAAGGCTTTATGGATCTTGTTGTTGTGATTTTTCTAGGCACCTAAGAATTAGGTACCGCAATGCTTAAGCCCCTCTGTGGATCCCACCTTTAATTCCCACTTACACCCTATTTTGAGGTTTTAAATGTTGCAGGCTGTCTGCACGGTGGTAAATTTCCCATTTGAGCATCTAACATGTTATTCATAGGAGACAGATTCCTGTTCTTGAGTGCTGTAGTTAGTCAGATTGTAAAGATATAGGAAAACTCACCCAAACTAGCCTGACTATCATACCGTCCATCTCTGCCTTCTGTCACAGTGCTCAGATAATGATTGTCAAACTTCATTGGTTTACCAGTGAGAATATCCTGGGGAATCATAACATGTGGACATTTAATCAGATGATCGCATAATTCTGTAATATCCTCAGTGGCATGAAATGGGAGGAAGTTATATATAAGAAAAAGATATACAGCTATTTAGTGTCTTCAATCTTAGTTAATACTGTTTCAGCCCAGGCAAAGGAAACAGGTTTTTAAAGCACCTCACTATTCAAGACTTGTTTTAATGCAAAAACTTGAACATCACCTCAATATTGTGAAATGAAGATACACATCCAAAGAAAGGCATTATATATATTCATTAAAAAAACCTCTTAACGTATTGCTTGCCAAATGAGATACAGCAATAAGAAGCCAAATGATACACCTTCTGAAACACCTTTCATCAGGGTGCCATCCAAAAGAAATATTCTCCGAGTTGAACTGGATTCCTTGGAAGGATTGAGAACATGGGTGAACAAAGTAATATTGCAGGAACATGCAGAGCCTCAGAGCAAAATTAGCAAAAGCTCTGGCATGTGCTGCCTCTCAACTGTATTTGGAATTAGAAAACCTGTGCCACAAGACAACCCGTTGCAGTTTGGAGAGGAGGAAAGTGGTGTTAAGGCTATTAAAAATCTCAGTTGAAAGAAGAATGTTAATATTAATAGCATACTTTATAAGATGCCTTGGCAATGAATACAAGATAACAACAACATGACTGAAGTCTGGTTTGAGCCATAGGGATTCCTGTTTACTTAGCTCAAACAGAAAAAGAAAAGACTTTCACTTTAGAAAGGAATAACATGCTCTCAACAAGAGAAATTCTGGAATCGGGTTAGAGATACATATTCATGCTGAGCTGTCAAGCAATGGCTATTGGCTCAGTAGGTCAACTTCTCCAATGATTAGCCTGCTCCCCTAAACTGACCTTGTTTATGGCAAGAATGTAATTTAATCTGAGACTGACTTCATAACCATCCTCATGGACTGTAGCAGAAATAATCTATAAGGAAAAAAGCACAAGTTAGCACCTCTTCTTATAAAAGTACAGGAAGACAGTTTCAGTAATGCTAAGTAGTCCTGCTGTCGGCTGAAAGTGTTTATCAACTGAACCAATATATCCATAAATAAATAATACAGTAATAGTAACAATAATAATTAGTAATTCACACTTTACGTCTTTATAGCACTGTGCGCACATTAACTAATCATCTTTCCACTTTAACTGAGTGAAGGGGTACGAATTTATAACAGGTGATATTTTGAGGTAAGTAGAGAAACCTGAATGACTGAAAATGCCAAATGTCTAAAAATATCAATGATTCCTTATACTCTCATCCCAAAATGTACATGTCATGAAACAGATTCACACCCATGGCTGCAGAGGGATGGCATTTTTACACACACACACACACACACACACACACACACACACACACACACACAC